CCAAAATCAACAAAAACCAAGCAGCAACACATTTTTGGTTATGATGGCTAAATAGTGTTACTAGCTGAATTTTTTTAAGCACAGAATAGAAAGAAGAGCCCCATCAATTATCATCCTTGCCCCTTACCAGATTTACAGCACAGCAGGAAGGAAACATTGCCACTGGAATGGATGAAGATGCTTCCAGGGCCTTTTATAACCACAGTGGGAAACCATGGATGGAGCCCTTGAGCCAACTGCTTCATTTTACAGCAGCACTGAAAGCAAATGGCCCAAGCTTGCTCCTCACTTACAGGCTGTTTATAACATCTCAGGAGCTCTTCCAGAGAGACCTTAGTAACACTCCAATCACATCTCCTGTTCTCCATTTCACATGTATCGCTTATTTTCTATGCACTTGCTTGTTTGTTTACCACTTGAGCTGTTTTTCATCAGCTCTACAAGAAGCAGCATCTTGTCCCAACAACCTTTTATCCAGTCTCCCTTTTCCTTCCTTCAGCTGTGACCATTCAGGTCAAATACCTCCTTAAAGGGACACCCTCAATTTCACCATCTGATCTGTACTTATGAACAAAGGCAGAGGGGTAGGAAAAGGGTTCTAGGAAGATTAGAAGCCCAAGTTAAAACTCATGCCTGATATTAACACCACTGACCTCAGCAAGTTTATACATAGAATGTGAATCAGATTCAACTTGGAGCATACAAGCTACTACCTAAGTAGAAGAGGCAATGTAGGATATAAATCAATTTCTGATATGGGTACCCAGTGGCAGGAAGATACCAGGGAAACTCTGTTGCTGAAAGACTCTGAAGAGTGAGTGGAGTGCTACTGTGATGTGCTTACAGCAGCCTGTGCTGCAGAGCAGGCCTGCAGTGCTGTTGTAGGGTCCAGGGAACATAGAAGAAGCAAGATGTGTTTGGTAGTGCTCTTTTAGTGGACCAATTCTATAGCTGCGAGAAATCCTAGACAAGTTTTTCGGCACACTAGACCCCTCTTCAGGTGTGTGAAAAATATCTTGGGAGCTTCTGTACAATTGTTGGGGAGTTCTGAATACTCCTCACCCCTTTTTGCTGTGTTGGGTCTGCCACTACCTGCCTCCTTACAGACACTCTGATCCCAGAAGCAGTTCAGTCTGAATCTGCATTGATGTGCATGTGAGAGAAGCGGACTGTGAGGGATAGCTTCAAGGGAACTGAGGTGCACAGGCCAGTGATCGCACCCAATGCTAATAAAGTGACCCTTGGAAAGAACAATGGTCACCGGTCATGGCTCAGTTTCCCTGCCGCCTACTCAACTGGCCAAGAGATTGATTTCTCAGAGACACCGGCAGGAAAACAGAAATCCAAACCTGAACTCATCCACACACGCAGGCACAGGGCTGGGAGTCAGCCGCTTGCATCAAGTGGATTGAGGGGCCTGTGTCTTCGCCATGCAGCAGCAAGTTGGCCTGCGTATTCTCTGCTGCATGTGGTTGCTTTGGAAACGTTGCCTGATTGCTAATCTCCTCAGAAACGGGGGTACCATTCAGAGGAACTCACTTTGGCTTTTCTTGTGTTTCTCCGGATGAAATAAAAGTCCCCAGACAGAGTCACCCCGGCTGCAACACGAAGAGCTGCTGCCTCTTGGCCCCATCCACCTCCAGGTACAAAGAACCATCAGGCCTCCCACTAGAGGTGGCCAATACTCGCCCTCCTTTGGCGGCCAGGAGGCAGCCTGGTTCATTTGATGCTGCCCGCAAGGCTGAGGTGGGTTCCCTGGCTGGCAGGCACAGTGGCCCTGTTTGGGGGGTGCGTGCTGCGGGCACGGGGCACCCCAAGCAGCAGGGGTTCTGGAGGCTGCCTTACAACGAGGGCTGCGGGGCAGGTCAGTGCAGCCTGGCGGACCTCAGGCAGTGCCACAGGACGTAGCAGCTGATCCACCCCAGCCTGGCTAGGACTGGGCTGCCTTGAAGTAGTTGCTCATGTGTCTGGCTCCCCTGCCACGGGACCCCTGCACCCTGCCTTGGGAGCGTCCAGGCCGAGGGGCAGCGGCAGCCCCTACCCCCACTGGGTTCACGGTGACTTCGCAATTCCCACTGCCCGGGGACAGCGAGCCCTGCGCACACACCCCCTTCCCGGGATACTTGGTACAGCCCGCAGTATTCCTCCCCCGCCCCCCAGCTCTGTTTTGGTTCCGCCCACTCATTCTTCTGGCCTCGCCTCGCCGCCCCGCCCCACCCCTTTCGTCGCCCTTAGCAAACATGGCGGCGCCCGGGCTTGGGGAGGCCGCGTGGAATCGGGTGAACGTGCCGTGGCCTGCCACTAGCCCTACGGTGGCCCTGCCAGAACAACACCCCTCAGGTAGTGAAGGGGGCTGTGCGGGGGGCAGGTGCGGGCGAGAGGCTGGCGCTCAGGGCACGCGGTCTCAGCTGGCTTGGCGCGGGGCTCGTGACGTCACGCGCGCGCCTCTGCGCCCTCGAGTTGTGACGTCGCGCGCGCCTCTGCCTCCCGGGACTGGAAAAGCGTGTCCCGGGGCTGTGATGTCACGTGTGTGCGTGCATGGTAGTCAGTAGGGGAGTTGTGGGGTACGCATAGGGTGGCGAACCCTCCAGGGGTGCCCTGGAGTCCAGGAATTCAATCTAAATCTGGAGGAGGCTGCTGAGAGTCACCAGGGAGATAAAAGATATCGCCTTCATCAAAATAAATATGAAATGTTGAATCCGATTTAGAGAGTAAGCCACTTGTTCCTATAATGTAGCAATAAAGTGCATTTGCCTTCCTAACGTAAAGTCTGCACACCATCATCTGTACCAGATATGTGAGCACGCAAGCACGTTTGTGCTGTGTAGTGCGGGCATGTTGGCGGTCTGGAAACCTCCCAGGATAGATTGGTCAAACAATGTTGGTAATCCTACAGGCACATTAGGATGTGTATGATATACATCTTTAATGTATATTTCCTGCTTGAGGGGGGTAAGTATGTATATCTCCCCCCCCCCCCCCAAAAAAA